ATGCGCTACCACGCCCGGCTGATTTTTGATTTATTGTAGAGATGAGGTCTCGCCAAGTGGGTTCAGGCAATCCACTCACCTCAGCCTCCCAAAGCGCAGGATTACAGGCTGAGCCACCGAGCCTGGCTGAGTAAACATTTTTTAAAGTGTTGTACAACTAAACTCCAAATGCCCAGCAACGCATTTCTTACCCATGAGCATATCCCCCACTGAACGGTGTTCATCTTATTTGCATCACTAAGAACAGATATGCAGAAAAGTGTGCCAAGTACAGGTGTCTGCCCCAGTTCGGCCTGAACTGACATATATTCCAAATGACTAAAACATCAACTAAGCGGTCTCACAGCATGATGTTAGTACTTAGTCACAGCCTTTTCCTTTCCATTTAGGATAGAGCAGGTAGACCGGGCTTGGTGGCTCAGCCTGTAATCCCAGCACTTTGGGAGGCCAAGGCGAGAGGATTGCCTGAGCGCGGGGGTTCAAGACCCACCCGGGCAACTTGGTGAGACCTCGTCTCTATAATAAATCAAAAACTAGCCAGGCATGGTAGCGCACATCTGTTGTTCCAGCTACTTGGAAGGCTGAGGCGGAAGGATCACCGGAGTCCAGCAGGTCAAGGCTGTGGTGATCAGGAGCGGCCACTGCACTCCAGCCTGGGCGACAGAGTGAGACTCTGACTCAAAAAAAAAAAAATGGATAGAGCAGGTTGCTCAGATCCTGGCCAGGGACTCAGTGTCAACATGTCAAGACTAACCACTTCACTCTATTGAAGGATATTTACTAAGTCCCATCAAGGACTCAGGCAGCCTCTTGAGAGGACTGCACAGATCACCTGAAGGCCATCCTAGTATGGGTTTTAAGGGATAAATAAGAGTTTGCCTGGAAAATAGATTAGAAACACACTCCAAGTCAGGCACGGTGGCTCATACCTGTAATCCCAGCACTTTGGGAGGTGGAGGTGAGAGGATAGCCTGAGCCTAGGGGTTTAAGATCAGCCTGGGCAACTTGGTGAGACCTCATCTGTACAAAAATCAAAAACAAAATTACCTTGATGTGGTGGCGATCGCCTGTGGTTCCAGCTTCTTGGAACCCTAGACAGAAAGATCACCTGAGCCCAGCAGGTCAAGGCTGCGGTGGCTGTGAGCCTGCCACTCTACTCCAGCCTGGGTGACAGTGAGACTATGACTCAAAAGAAAAGAAAGAAATACATTCCAGGTTTCTAAAATAAGAGGTAGCAGAAATACAATGTCTAAAAAAACAAACAAACTCATACTTTCCCGCAAAGCTGTTTCTCCTCTCATCTATATCTGCTCTCCTACATCCCATGTGATGGCCAAACACCACCCAGAAGCCATGTGATAGGCTCTTCCCTGGCCATCCCCAGCTGATCACGGGACCTCAGCATCTCTTCCAGGCCTCACCTCTTCCCCATCCTGTTGTCCTCAGTTCGGTCCTCACTGTCCCCACTGTGTCCTCTTAATTTACAGAGCTCAGAGGAATCCTTCTAAGAAAGAATCTGACTGAGCCACACCTATTTCCAAAGACTAAGCAGCTCTCATCCCCTACAGCAGACAGAACACAACACACATTGGTCGAAAGAGTTGCAGACTGCATTCTGGAGGTCATGGAAAGACTGTGAATGGGATCATTCTGGTGTCTGAAGGCAGGACAGACACGGGATACAGAGGAGGCAAGACTGGAAACCACAGGCTGCAGAGGCAGAGAATGCAGAAGAAAGATATAGTGGCTTGGACACCCAAGGTTTTCAGGTGTAAACACTGGGTAGACAGCAGTGTCACTAACCAATTTATGGTTGCAGGAGGGAAAGTCAATTTAGGAGTAGAGGGTGGAAGCTAAGTCAGCGTGGCTTGAGTAGAATGAGTATGATGAGAAAGAGGAGAGTACTCAGGAGAAGATGGAGCTCAGGAAAGAGGTTGGCAAAGGGCTCAGTTACACCATCTACCAATCAGAAACATAATCTTTTATCTCTGGAACCTAGTAAAACTCTGTGCAGTAAACACTGCCATAGTCAACTAATGATGCCACAAGCAAGGCTAGTTGTTTCCCATCTGGATGTTCAGGACTGACTTTCCAGATATGTACACCTGCCCACAGGACAAAGAGAATGGGTCAGGATAGCTCACTGCCTGGAGTGGGGGAGAGTTATTGTGAGCAAACACTTCATAGAAAAAACTGTCCTACAACAAGGTCCCTTTTGGGACTTCTGGTTGGTTTCCCACGTGATGAGCCTGGGGTCACTTAACGACAAGTAAGAAGCTGAACAAACTGAAACATTCACAACTCTTCTTGGATCTCTAAAATCAAGGAGGGCATAGGGCAAACCCTTCCTCCAGGACTGTTGAGATAGAAGTAACACAAGAACAGAAAACTAAATACCACATGTTCTCACTTGTAAGTGGGAGCTAAGCTAAGAGTCTGCAAAGGCATAGAGAATGCCATAATGGCATCAAAGACTCAGAAGTGGGAAAGAGATGAAAAACACCTATCAGGTACAATGTGAACAGGTGGGGGTGACAGGTACACTTAAAGTCCAGACTTCTTCACTATGTAATACATCCATGTAATCAAACACCATTTGTACCCCTAGAGCTATTGAAATAAATTTTTTTTTAAAAAACTATAATTAATATCCTAAGGGCTCTAATGGATAAAGTAGATAGTATACAAGAACAGACAGGCAATGTTAAGCAGAAAGATGCAAAGTCTAAGAAAGAACTGAAAAGCAAAGGTAGAGGTCAGAAACACTGCAACATAAATGAAGGAAGCCTTTGATAGGCTCATTAGCAGACAGTACACAGCTAAGGAAACAAGAACTGTGGGACAACTACAAAAGGTGTAACACTCATGAAATGAGAATTTCAGAAAGAGAAGAGAGAGAGGAACAGAGGAAATATTTGAAACAATGATGACTTAGAACTTCTCCAAATCTTTTCAGACACCAAACCACAGATCCAGGAAGCTCAGAAAACACTGATGGAATAAATGCCAAAACACACACCTTATATAAGGTTGTATGTAAGTAAAATAAATAGCAGCAACAATACAAGGGATGGGAGGCGAGGATTCAGATTATTTTGTTATTATAAAGTACTCAACTCTACCTGGAAAGTGGTATAGCATTATTTAAAGAGTACTTAGATTGGCCATAAATGTGTATCATATTCAAACTGCAGAAAATACAGATGAAGAAAGAATACTGAAAGAATCTGGTGAGAAAAAAATACCTTATCTATTGAGGAGCAAAGATAGGACTTACATCCAGTTTTTCAGATACCATGCAAGCAAGAAGAATGCAATTAAACATTTAAAGTGCTGAAAGGAAAAAAAAAAAAGCACCAGCATAGTCTACAAATTTATCCTTCCAAAGTGAAGAAGAACTAAAGACTTTCAGACAAACCAAAATTCAGGAATTTGTTTGCAGTAGATGTGCCTGGAAAGAAATATTGGCGGGGCATGGCAGCTCAGGCCTATAATCCCAGCACTTTGGGAGGGCGAAGTAAGAGGGTTGCCTGAGTCCACAGGTTTGAGAACAGCCTGGGCAACTTGGCAAGACCTCATCTCTACAATAAATCAAAAAAATAGCAGGGTGTGGTAGCATGTGCCTGTAATTCCAGCTACTTGGAAGGCTAAGGTGGAAAGATCGCCTAAGCCCAGCAGGTCGAGGCTGCAGTGGCCATGAGTGTGCCACTGCATTCCAGCCTGGGTGACAGAGTGAGACTCCAACTCAAAAAAAAAAACAAAGAAATATTAAAAGAAGTTCAGCAGAGGAAGGAAAATGAGGTATGTCAAAAATTTGGATCTACATAACAAAGGAAGAGCAAAGAAGGACATAGAAAATTTCATTTTTCTTATTATTACTTGATCTAACACACAGCAGTTTATTTAAGATGATAATAACAATGTATTCAATTGTGTATACTGATGTACATATGGTAAATGGGTGTGTGTGCACATGTACAGTCAGCATTCCTTAACTGCAGGTTCCGCAGGTTCCACATCTGTAGATTTAAACCAGCACCAGATCAAAAAATTTGAAAAAATGATAAAAAATAACAACACAACAATAAAAAACACAAATAAAAATCACTATAGTATAACAGTTATGTACCATTTACTTTGTATTAGGCAATACAAGCTATCTAGAGATTATTTAAAGCACATGGAAGGACATGCATAGGTTATATGCAAATACTACACCATGTTATATAAGGGACTTAGCATCTGCAGATTTTGGTATCTAAGGGGGTCCTGGAAAAAAATAAACACTAAGAGACAACTGTATATATGCTTATATAGGTTGTATATAAGTAAAATAAATGACAGCAACAATACAAGGGATGGAAGGCAAGGATTCAGATTATTCTGTTACTATAAGGTATTCACTCTTATCTGGAAAGTGGTATAGCATTATTTAAAAGAGTATTTATACTGGCCATAAATGTATATTGCAAATCCTATGACAATCACTAAGAAATGTCAAAAATGAGCCATATCCAATAGGAAAATTGATTCATATAAAATGTTCAACTAAAAACCACAAAAGGATTGAGGGAAACAGCTAGGGGAGGGAAGGGCATTCCTCATCAACAAGGATACCTGCATAATCAATGTGTGTATACCTAACCCTGAATTGTACCCCACA